GCATCAATGTTAAATCAGAGATCATCTACAACATCGCTCGGCCTAGGTCTACCCTAGGCTCTAGGCCTAGATATGAGACATGGGTAGCTATGGAGAACATGCATGAGACCAGATTTGGTAAAGGTTAGTGACTGAAGTTACTACTAGGACTTGGCTGAGTTTCATCGCCCACATCCTTGGGCTACTGCCTACTTACCATCATCCTGAAATTTTCCATGCAAGAACACGGAAGTGTACATTAACAAGATGTATCACAGAGAAGCAGAAGAGTATCAAAAATAAAACAAATCAGCAATTAACAAGAAGGCTGAGAAAGACGCAAGCTGAAAGCCGCTCATCTTATTCAGCTCCTGATTATTATTTGAAATTTCTGTGCAAGTAATATCACCTTGAAGGCTATAAACTGGTGTTGCTGAGTTTCAATTGTGGTTGTGGTGCAATAGTCCTGTTAAAATCTACTTGATATAAAAAGTTAAAAAAAAAAAAAAGGATGGCTATGTATGATAAGGGAAAAAGAAAAGAAAAAAAACAACGAAAATGAGACATCACTACCTGTACAACTGTAAGATCAGAAAAAAACAAAGCAATGGACAAGACCACATGAAAATTTAAGAGAGTAATTACATTTATTGAAAGGCATGCTACAACAACTAGAGTTGTTAGGAGAAGTGTCTGGTATAGACATCAGGCAATCAGTAAGTGTACTAACGTAAAAGAAACAGAATGTATTGCAGCATTCACAAGTTCAAATTAACCAGCTTAAAAATAATTTTATTTAATATTACATCTTCTTTGCATTATAATATAAGTCATTTCAACAGACATGGAATCTTTTCTTTTCAGCGCCCCAAGCTGCTTTTCAAATGAAAGCTTGTTCTGTTGCTTATCAAAATATACATGACAATTGATGTTTTTATATACAAAACAATTTACACTTTAACATGTTCTCCCAACCTATTTTTTCCAGGTTAAAAGAAAAAGTTACAAATATTTACAGAATTTTCTTGTGCTAGATGAATGGACTGAATGATAGATGAAAACAGACTTTTATGAACAGGCTATGTAAAATGAGAAAATGTCAGCAATTCATAGCTGTGCTACATGTCTTGAATACAGTACTAAATGCAGTCCATTAACACCTTGCATTTATCCTGCACCATTTGGTTCGCATTAATATTCTATTTTTCACTGAGTGGTCCATTCACCATTAGTAGACTCAAACAAAGGCAACTTTGCACTTTCAAGCATCCCTTCTAAAAGAAGCTTGACAGAAAGCAAATGAAAGAAAATTTTCAGAGAATGCCTCAGTAAAACCAGAACAGACAGTCTTTGGTCAGAATAATAAGGTGAATTTCTAATGCAAAAATCTGCTTGGTCAGTAACCTTCAACTTGTGCTGCTGCAGTTCTAGCGTAAAACTTTTGCAGAAAGTGGATAACATATCCAAAAACAATTACAATGTGCTTAGAACTGACGTAGCACATAGTGGCTATATTCCCACTCATCATAAATTATCCAATGACCCAGAACTGACATGGCCTTCCCAATACACAGGCAGACCCAGTCTGAATTCAAGACTGGGTAGAGTAGATAGGAAGAAGAGGGAGATTTTGTTCATTTGCCAATAATACAGCTAATTAAGACTTCCTCCCCTACACTTGGATCAAAATGGGAAGAATTCTGCACTCAGGCACTTCGGGTATCTGTAGTGAGAATTTAAGTACTGAGAGCTTTATAGTACAATTCCTGGGTCAAACTACACACATTACCAGGTACCGCATAAATGATTTAAACAAAAGTTAAGAATCTGTATTAAAGAAATTATAAACCTATCTTGATTCCCTAGTAGGACATTATGGAAAAGGTGAAGAAAGGTAAATACTCTTGGGGAGCTGCAAATTAACAGAATAGAATTACACATTAGATGAGAAAAAAATCTCAAGGAGGGGCGCTTTAACACTGCGACAATTGCTAAGAGATACTGTGAAATCTTCATTCTTGAATATACTCAAAACTTGACTGGATGATTCTCCACATAATTGCTTTAAGGTTAGTCCAGCCTCCTGCCCCAAGGAGTAAGACATCAAGAGGTTCCTTTTCAACCTACGTCATTGTAACAGTCAATGGAATAATCATGCAATAAACAAGGAGTACCGTTTTCAGTTACTCAGAGAGAGTTACTAAGAGACAAGACAACCTAGACTATGACAACTGTTCTTTTAAGGAAACAAGATGTACTCCTTTTTTTTGGAGCTTGTCTGCAACTTTTGACAAAGCAGGTATATCCCCAAGAGATGGCATCACTCAGTTGTACACAAATCCAAAGGTAAGAATAATTCAATTACAGAACTACAACAATAAAAGAGAATTATAAGAAAACACAGGAATACAGGATAAATGTATTACAAAACCAAAAGCACCCAGAAGATCCATCACAGTGATTTTCCTTAAATTAGAAAGATATGTGTCTCTGCTAAGTTATACTTTAGGCCTCTACATTTCAAACTACAAACAGTTAAGGGCTAAAATTATCAGTAATCTAAAATTGAAAAATTACTCCCTTCTCTAGCAGACTGCCAGATGCCTTCATCTTTTTTTTTTTTTTAGATTCATTCAATAATTCCCATCTCCTGCTATGAAAATCAATAAATTAAAATGCATGTGATGCATATGCTTGTATGCCAGTATGGCACCTTACACAGACAGTATGACAGAGACAGACATGGCTCTAAGTATTATATAGGCCAAAAATAATTCTCAACTTTAAGGCTATTTTTACCTGCTTTACATTTACATACAGATCCAACATAATTCCTCTTATCTGTAGGAGCAGATCCCTAAAAAAGTGACAGACCTCATTCTAGGGATAATGCTTTTCTTCCTTGAGCAAGAGGCTGGACTGTATGATCTCCGAAGGACCCTGTACATTCCCTGCTCAGTGGTTCTGCAATCATTCTGCTTTTATGAAGCCACTTTGCGTGCAGTAACAAGGGACATTCCCAGTCAGCAGGATACTTAGCCATTACAAACTGGCCACAATGTGACTACTAACAAGGTTAAACACAAGCAAGAATTAAATACCTTGCTGAAAATAGGCCAATTTGCAAGTGAAAATCCCATGTACTGCTGTGCTTTGCTAAAATCATATTAAAATGTTACTTTTTAATAAACTACTTTTGGCACCACGGAATTGTTCATTTTCATATATTCCCCCCAAATTGGTTTAAAATTTCAAAGCAAATCAGCTGTTTTGGAGAGGGGAAAGCGAAAGATTATCTCAAAAGCCAAATACAGCATTTTCTATTAAATTTGAGCCAATTTAAACTTTTCAGTAAACATTATAGATCTGTGTATTGTGGTGTACAGCAAGATTATATCCACTCAGACATTTAGCCCAACGCTCTATTTACTGCCAAATAGCATGCTTTTACTGCAGTATAGAGGTCTTCCAACTTCACTGCTATGCCTATCTGCGGCACTTATAATTTAATTGTAAGTCACGAACCGAAGGCAAGCCCATATCTCTTGGATACCACAAAAATAATTCAGAGAGAAAACCTGACGATGTTTACTTCTACACACTCAGCTATTGCAAGTATGACCGTCATTCCCGAAAGATTATTCTCTTCAGAACTGTATTTTCCAACTGGCATCCGGCATTATAAGCGTGAGATATAAAGAAAAATTAAAATGAATGACAAAACATTACAGCAGATACTTCTGTATCTGTTAAAACAGAAGCAAAATAAACAACCATTGTGCTTGAGAGGAATACTTCTTTAAAAGGTGCTTAACTTTGAGAAAGTTCTAAGAAAAATACATTTTGCAAACTAGAATTGAAAATGATTAGGGCACATATGTACCTTCAAAAAAAAGGGAGGAAAAAAAAAAGAAAATAGGTTGTAACTTCATCTCAGCTCATTTTCCAAAGAGAAAGGGCCATTGAGTATTGAAAATTATGATATTTATAAAGGTAAGAATTATTGCTCTTTATTAATTTGTTCTCTGTACTGAAGGAAAAACATAAGTACCTTAGGCAAATGTTGTGATAGAGCTAACATCTTTCAAAAATTCATGAAGTTTTCCATCTGAAGTGAAATTGCTGTTTTGTCTTTTTTGTATAGGGTAATTCTGGTGCATTTTTCTGAGAGTAATTTTGTCAGCCAAATACTAGTCTGGGACAACTGCAACTGAGTAAGTAAGCTTGAAGAGGACTATAAGATCATGCAGAGTTAAACCTCACTCCCAGTTCTACCATATTGCTATATGAAAGTACCAGAGTTTGGAATTCAGAGTACAACAAACTAAAAAAAATATTTCTGAAGTAGCAAGAGAAAAAAAAAAAAAAAGGAATGAGAAAACTTTCACCAAGTACACAATTTCTTTCAAGATATTTTACACAAAATTCTAAGCTGTTGTATCATAAGCACATAATAAGGCACATAATAAGAATTTAAGTAAATACACAGTAATTTGATTCAACTACTAGAGATTATAGCGGTACAAAAAGCCTCCAGGTGTACTACTTTTCCCCCGAAGATATTATGAAAAATAACTTCTTAAAAAATTTGTCAAACCATGATAACATCTCAATATTTTCCTTGTGACTGTAAACAAGATCCGCAGAACTATAAACACTCCTGCAATAAGATAAATACTATTCAGTGGACACTCACATTCAATGCTTGCTTTTCCTTAAGGAAACCAAGCACTTTCACATTCAAATTAGTGTTTTATCCAAACAGAATAGGCTTACTATTTCAATAGAAATATTATTTGCTTGGTATATTATAAAAATGCTAAAAGAAATTTAGTAGAAGAATATTTTTATGGAGAAATATTAAACTTTGACCACATCCTGGCAGCTGAAACTGAAAAATATCATCCCTTCATTCTTTACTGCATGTATAAATACACAAACTCAGAATGAACTTTCTGTTTTAAGAATCAGAGTTGGTCACAGCTGCTGCAGTTGACAGCAGTTTGTCTGAAGGTTTTTACTAAAACTGTGATGCAGTCTTAGAAGGAAAGTTCACAGAAAAGTCAGATTTTAGATTTTGAGAAGGAAACTCTGAGGTGATGTTTTTCTCCAAGGTCATAATCATGAAGTTCAATGAGAGCCTGGACTGCTTCCTCCACGGAACCCAGCTGGATGAGAGCCATTTTGTGATCTTTCCTTAAGTACAAAAAAAACATTATTAATCCTAACTAATTTTTCACTGCTCTAATCCATCAAAGTGATGCAAATATTTTTTCTGATTCTTCATTCTTTTGTATTGAGCACTTACCTGAGGAAGCAGAATTAACCAAGAACATACTAAAACACACAAAAGTATGAAAATGATTGACAGTCTATAGCCATGACTGCATCTCGAAGGTAGGGTTGAAAGAAGGTTGAAAGACCTTTAGCAAATACTTGCATTCCACATGCATCTTGCATATAGGGATTATCCTAGCAGCCATAATCATGTTAGAATAATGCCACTAAGGAGCCCTAATGAATGACAGAACAGCTCCACTGTCATCTTTTGCATGACATTTTACAGGTACTTTATTTTCAAAAGCTATTATTTTATTTACTTTCCTTAAGTTTACCTTCCTTTGAACAAATGGGGAAATTGTCAACAGACAGGATTATGAAAAAAATTAATTGATGTTATATATTTCATTTAATTATCCTAACATAGTATTACTTTTAAAATTTAAAGATTAGGATTATTGTAAAAATCATTACAGTAGTGCAGCTTTTGTCTATAGCTACAGGTTTGTACCCAAATGGAATTTCCCCCTCAAAAATTAGAATTTGAAACACTGTTCAGCATTTTTACTTGAGAACTTACTGGAAGAACTTGCAGGCTTTCACAGTAGATCCAGTACCTGCAAAAAGGTTCTTCAGATAATCAACAGTAACGGAAGGCCTAATTAAAAACAAGAACAAAAAAACCACTTTGTCAACTTGCAAAAGAGCACAGAATTCTGTAATAGTACTGAAGTTCCTGTTCTGGCCTCTACACTTATCTGATCATCAGAAACTATCACCTCAACTTGACGTCAGTCAGCATTTTACCCCAAACACCTTGGCTTTGGCACTCAGATTTAGTATTGCAGTGCACTATAAAAATATTTTAGATACAGTCTTTTGTTTTTTCATCTGCCCTCATTGCTTCCTCTTTAAAATTCAGACTGCAGAAAAATCACTAAACAAATTAACGAGTAAGCTCAGAAATAGCTTTGATCTTGTACTTACAGCTGGCATGCTTCGTACATTTTCATCTTCTAAAGCTTGCTATTTTATCCAAAAAAAGGTAATTTTCTGAGTTTCCTATATTGATTTTTCTTATCTGGACAGAATTCCATATATTTTTGCCTTATTTCCAAGTTCCTCTCTGCACAGCTGCAGAACATGAAAAGCTTATACAAATTTACAATGTTTGACTCACTTCATACTTTATTGACAATATTCTACATTGAAAAGATTAAGTTTAAAACAAAACAATTCTTGATAGTTCTTTTTTTAAACAAACTTTCCTTCAGGTAAGAAATCTGAATTCTGCTAAAATTTTCATTTAAAAAGTATTTATTAGGTGATTAAAAACTGCATCTACATTACATCATAATGTCCATGATAAATGCAACTCTTGCACATTATCCACAAAATAATGTTCTGCAAAAAAAAATATATAGTACAGGACTTAGGAAATGAAGACTGAATGTATCTTCTCAAGAAAATATAAACTCTTTTATAACTCATCAAAAAGAGTTTCGATCTTTTTGCTAATGATTGAAACAGTATATCAGTAACCGTATAAGGATTTGCTTATTGCTAAATTACACAACAAAATAATATAAAAATAGTCAGGAAACTATGGGACACACAGGAAATTCAGGGCTTATGCCAGACTTTGCATGTTAAAAACATAACTTAAAAAGGATCATTTCTCGAAGAGCTGCCCCTACTCACGGGATGTTAGAAAGATGCAGGGTGGCAGATGGAGGAAAGATATTTTTGAAGTTCTTGGAGCCAGGCTTCTTAAAGCGATGCAAATGGCTATTTCTATAGTCCTTAGTCAGACCCTGGTCCTCTTGTCCCTCACGAGGAAGCTGAACTGTATGATATTTCGAAAGAGTAGCACGGATGAACTTTCCATACAGCCTCTGTCCATTCAAGTAGCTCATAGCTAAACAGTGTATCAGAAATATGATTTGAACAGGAAAACAGATGAGGGGAGGAGAAGAAAAAAAAGATTGTTTGCATACTGTTGTCATCCCGTCTTTAGCATCAAATAACAACTTTAGACATTACCAGGTGTGCCAAGGTTTGCCTTCATAATATCTAAAGCAAGTATATGGATGCTATATAACTCTATAACAAAAATGCAAATAATCTTTTCACAGAGAAACACTTCATTATTCTTAAAAAGCTATATTTTTAATAAAAAACAGGAAAATTATAAAATAAAAATCTCACAGCACTTATTACATGGAGACTTGTGGATTTTTTGTCAAACCACTGCAGACAAAAAATTTACTTACATGAAATCCAGTAGTTCAATACCAGCATATAAAAGTTTGTTTGTGGTAAAACATTACATATTTAATTTATGTTAGCCACTTAGAGATGACAAATTCCTAATCCAAGCTATTTTCATGCTACATAGAAGGATAAATAAGCCTTAAAAATCCATACCTAGCTGAGCCTGGCTTGCATCTGCCATTTGAACCAAAGCACTTTCTTTTTTGTTAAACATAATCTTCACACGATACACATCACCATACACACCTGTGGAGAACCAGAAAAGGAGATCTGTGCAGAACATGTGCTATGAACAGCATACAGAGATTTTTGGTTTTTGATGAAGAACAGTGTTTCAAAAAATGAACTCATTAAACCAGCTTGCGTAGAATGAAGACCAGCATCAAGCCTGTATATTACTTTCTGAAGTCCAGAATTTTGAGCCTTCCCCTGCAAGAGCCCTCACCTCTGTTATAAAACTGCACATTCATTTTTAACTGCTAAATAGTGCAAAAATAGGAAGATCCTCTCAGTACGTATTTTAAAACATTACCATACTACCAAACATTTTCTCCACCAAATAAAGTACGTGCCAATTCCATCATTAACCATTTCCTCTAACAGTTCTTGTTTTCCATCCTTTTTTGCTTTCTAATTCTTCACAGCATAAAAACAGATGAGAACATGCACACTGAAATTCCACTGAAACTCTCACCCACTTTGCCTTTTAGGTACCTGTGCCCTATGACTACTTGTACAGATTTCTGTCATTTTAAAACCAGCACCTGCTGCTTTATGTTTTCTGCATAAGGAACAAAATGATGCAATTGTACCTAATCAGACAGTTATGTATATAACCAACATATATTTTACACACGTAAGATCTTACCAAACAGGATGAAGAGTTCGTGTGGTGTGATGACCTGTTTAAACGATAAAACAAGTATACTATTTTTAAAACAATGCAAATAAAATAGGAATGGAATCTCTAAGTACAACAAAACAAACACCAGAAATTCTGCACATAAATGCATTTCTTGAATTTCTTGAGGTTATTTCCATGAGTCACTGAAGGCATACAGCCTTCTAATTAGGATGCATTTAGTAATCACATACAAAATTTTTAGACAATGTAACAATTCCGCTCATGCATTTTCACCATTGAAGATTCAATCTCTCACGCTGAAGAAGTAGTTAAGGGGTTTGTTTTAGTTGAATCTACTCTTTCCACACTAACTTATCATTCACTGAAAAATGAAAGCCAATCACTAAACCAAAAGTAGAAAAGAACACTGAAGAGCACTTTGGTAGGTATTTTCTATACAGAAGACAATATTTTTAAAAATAAAAACAGCTGTTTCAGAATGTATTTTTTTTTCTTTCAATTTTGCTTCCATCTCTGCATATCACCATGCTGTGTTAAAGTTGTGCATTTACTATGGAATTGTTTAGACATGAAGCACAGAGTAATATTTATATTGTGTCCAATCAAAACTACGAACAGGAGTAGTGAATGAAATGGTTTTAATTCACTTAAAGGTTGTGTAAAAAGTGCCACAACCACCTGAGAGGATAATCCGCACCCTAAAGTCAGTTTTTATCTAACTGAGGCAAAGTTTTTGCCATCAATAATTACTAACAAAACCTGAGGACCAGTAGTAATACTCTGCCCTAAAGCCCTATGCTTTCTCAATGTGAATTTAAATTGAAAAAGGAATTTTTTGTTCTACATTCACAAGAAACTTGTGAATAACAGTACTAAGACAAAGTTTTCAGAAAAACGGGATGCAATTAATTACTTTAATGAAGCACAGATCAATGTGCAATATTTGAGTTATTGCATTATGGTTATGTGGATCTGTGCCAGTTCTACTATAAAATATTACTATAAAAATAAAGTCCTTTCCTATGAAGTAATGCAAAAAAGTATCAGTGTGGACCTACCTGTGAACAAAAAAACAAGTCTAGAGTTATCAGTATCAAAGGATTCTTCTGTTCTTATCCCTTTCAAAGCCAGGCAATGGTCTAGACAAAACAAATGGTCTAGAAATGTCCTACCAATGCTTGGAAAGGCATTTTATTTATCATGTTTTCATTTCCCTTTCTACTCCTTTTAGCTTCCCTCTTCCTCTTTTGTATCAAATGAAGAATTTTTCTGGCTTCTCTAATAATGAAAATGCTTCAGGAAGAGTCTTAGTAGATATTGCCAGTGAATTTATCAGTAGCATAAGGTTGGCTACCTTATCAAAACAGTTCTTATACCTCAGCATAAACTCTTCTGTGGTTACTATGCTTACTTACACCACTATATAGCAAAAACTGTTCCCCAAGTTAATTTGTAGTGATTGGCAGCTACAGCTAATTGGAGTTTCTACATCTCATCAATACTGCAAATTATCTCTATAATAAAAGAGCTGTCCTATTTCTGATACTATCACCAAAACAATAACAGCTTTTATTCCTACAGCTGATTTCAAATTTTGGTAAGGATTTTGGCAATGAATATTATTTTAGTAAATACCTACTCGCAGTGATTCCACCAGCCAAACTTACCTTAGAGTTGAGGTTGCTGACCAGTAAAACAGAATTTTCTGGAACACCAGTAGTACTTGGAAGAGTCACCTGTTCAGACAACGCAGAATTGGACATTCCAATGGGACCAAGTGTTCCAGGAGCAGATGGAACTGGCAGACCTGGAAGGGAATTAAGAGTCATTTGATACCTCAAATGAAGTGGAAACATTTTAGAAAAAATGAGAGGAAGACTTAGTTGTTCAAAAAAACTCACAATACTTAATAGAAACAATGCTGTCTTGTACTTCAGTTACTCCTGATAACCAACTAGTAAACCAGGAAGTATCTCTCAGCAGGCAAAGAAATATTCAGTCATAGCAAGGGAGCAGACAGGGTCGCAAACTGCAACCCAGAAGAGATGGAACATTATTTACCACAAAAGATTATCCTGTGGTAGAGAGGTTGGAAACATGTTTATTTTTCATTTTCTACCCAGAAAAGGAGAGACATACTGCTTTATGTTTGAATATCAAAGTCTTATGATCTTGAGAAAAAAAGGAAGTTTCTTCTCTTGAAGGTAATCTTTTTCAAGGTAATCTTTTTCAAGGTATTTAATTTCTTACAAGATGAAAGTCACATCAACTTATGTTCTTTATTATGAAAAAAACTTTATTGAATAGTATCATGTGCAAAGAGAATTAGAATGCCTCAAACGAGCTTTGTATTCTGACTGCTGCATTTGAAAACAGGTCCTGTGTTTTGACAGGCCACCAACCCCACATGCTAACGCATTTTTAAAGAAAATATGAACAACGTACTGGCAACTTGAGCAAAGCCAACGGCTGGGACAAATTCAACAGGTCCTGAGTATGAGGAGGAGATGATACCTGTGGTGCCTACAGATAAGAGACATGCCTAATTAAAACCAATTTTTAACATATTTATAAAATAAAAGAGACTGCAGGAATGAGATTCAGCAGCCAACATTGCTACTTCAACCAAGGCAGGTATTAGATTGCTTATGAAATGTTAAATGATTGAAATCTCAAATTCTATATTCAAAGAGAAAATATTAAGACTTTTTTTAATGCAGTTATTCAGATTACTTTCAGTGTTCCCTTCTAAATGAAGTCATAGCAAAATGCAATGTTACTTGTTTGATCAAGACGGTATAGCACAGATCAATATGCATTTTAGAAATTTCCAGGAAGGAAATATACACAGGAAGGACATGTTTCAATGAGCATATACTTATTTTGAAAATATTTTTTCCCCATGGTTTTCATGTTAATCACTAGTCTTAGGCAGATTTCAAATAGCAACATGCTGACAGTACTAGCCCCAAAGATGGTTCAGTTATGTGAAGTTATTTGCTGCCCAGGGAAGCACATAAGCTTGGGTTCTGATAGGGAATTGGATTCAAGCTGAAGCTGTAGATTCTTTTGTAAGTTAGCATGCTATTTTTTTTTAAACTGTACTTATATAATCTATAAATACATTCCAAGTGCCATAACATACAAAACACTCAAACCACCACCACAAACTGGAACAGCTACATTCTCTAACAGATGGGTACTGCCAGGAATGATACAATACCCTAAAATCAGCTATTAATTTTAATAACTGATGAATGAAACATATTCTACATATCCACTATTCATAGTGGATAACGACAAAATCAGTAATGACAAAATGTCATACAATCATGAAATCCTTAAGGTTGGAAGGGACCTCTAGAGGTCATCTAGTCCAAACCCCCTGCACACGCAGGGTTATTCCTCCCCAGGTGCAGGACCTTGCACTTGGCCTTCTTGAATTTCATGAGGTTTTTCACCGCCCAGTTGTGCAGTCTGTCCAGGTCCCTCTGGATGGCAGCGCAGCCCTCTGGGGTATCGGCTACTCCTCCCAGTTTGGTATCATCAGCAAACTTGCTGAGGGAGCACTCTGTGCCTTCATCCAGGTCATTGATGAATAAATTGAACAGGACTGGACCAAGGACTGACTCCTGAAGGGCACCGCTAGCTACAGGCCTCCTACTAGACTCTGCACCGTCTGAGCTCTGCCATCCAGGCAGTTCCTAATCCACCTCACTGTGCACTCATCTATCCCACACTTCCGGAGCTTGCCCAGGAGGATGTTGTGAGGGGTGGTGTCAAAAGCCTGGGTGAGGTCGAGATAGACGACCTCCACCGCTCTCCCCTCGTCTATCCATCCGGTCATTTCATCATAGAAGGCTATCAGGTTAGTCAAGCAAGATTTCCCCTTGGTGAATCCATGCTGACTA